CTCACCAGACAGACAGAGAGAGACATAGAGACAGAAAGCGAGAAATCACCCCCCAGGGGGGATGGTCACGCCTCAATCCTTTCTCCTCCATTCTCTCTCGGTATCTTGGGCATGCATGCACACGCACCCGGCTTGAGTCGACTGCGTCCCACAGTCGACAACCGCGGTCGACTACGTGGGAATCCAGCGACATAGCCATTACGCTAACCGCTGGTTCCCAACTGCTGGCTCCCTCTTGAACAGGATTTTTAAATCCATTTATGTTAAAATAATAGTTGAGATTGTCAACAACAAATGCCAGCTAAAAATCAATGTTATACAAAAGGGATTTCACAGTAGATGGGGTTATAGATATGAATGAATACAGAGATATAGGAGCCGCCTCCCCCAATCCGTGAGGTATACATCCCAAGACCCAGTAAATGTCCGAACTGTGGCTATCATCAAACACTGTATATACCATGTTGGGGGTTTTGTGTTTTGTTTTTGTTTTTGTTTTGTTTTTGTTATAGGGCACGTGCACTCACCAGAAAGACAGACAGAGACAGAGAGACAGAAAGCGAGAAATCACCCCCCGGGGGGATGGTCACGCCGCAACCCCTTCTCCTCCATTCTCCTCTCAGGATCTCGGCACGCATGCACACCCGCCTGGCGTGAGTTTAAGCCACCGGGTCCTGGACTCAAACCGCAGTCAATTACATGTGAGTCCAGTGACATAGCCATTACACTAAGTGCTGGTCCCCCATGTTGTTTCTTGATTTGATAATCAAGACAATAAATGACTAACAGGTAGAGAGTGTCTATGGTGGACAAAAGGATGATTCACATTTGGGGGGGGGCAAGGGGACAGAGAGAAATGGCACTAGATTGTATCATTCTACTTGGAAGGAGCATGCCTTTTAAAATTTATGAATGATTTATTTCTAGAGTTTTCCATTTAACATTTTCAGACCACGGTTAACCACAGCTAACTGAAACCATGGAAAGCAAAACCAGATAACAGAGGACTACAGGAGACAGAAAAAGCTTTAGACGTGTCTACTTCAAGATAGCAATAGCTATTTACGTCTGGGTAATAGGATGATGGGGGACTTTCCTACACTGGGTTTTAAAAACCTAAATGCAATACTGAATGTTAAATCATAAAACAGATAGTAAAGAGCAGAACTATTGTCCCAGAAAATCAGACAAATGGGAAAATTTTCCCAAAAGGCAAAGGAAATGAATTAAGAACTGAAAATGATAATGGAAGTGACAAGATTTGAGAATTCTGAAGTGAATATACAACCTTAGGTTTGGAGATAATCTTTTTTTTTTAAGAATTATTTACTTAATTTTATTTATTTGTTCATTTATTTTAATTTGACCAGAGAGAGACACAGAGAGAAAGAGAGGAAAAGTGAGAAAGGAAGCCACCATGTCCGGAATTCAAACCGTGGTCAGCCATGTGGGAGTGTCCAGCGCCTTAACCACCACGCCACCTGCTGGTCCCCAGGTTTGGAGATATTCTCAGGAGATATATTAGAACTGTCCATCAAAAGTTCTAATCAAAGTCATAACTGAAGGAAATTTTTCCAAGAACAACAACAACAAAAAATGTTCTGCAGGTCAAAAGATTTACTCTTTCAGCTAAACTCACTGAAAATAAATTCATCAGTTGGTTAAGGAATTATTCAAGCATCTCTGTGTGTGTGTGTGTGTGTGTGTGTGTGTACACAAAACAATTAACATAGCCCTAACCTCAGACTTCTCTGCAATACAGAAAACTGACCACAGTGTGAAGAGTCAGAAGCCAGGCTCTCACTTATCTCACTTGCAAAGGTCACTTGAAGGATTACTTGAAGGGGTACCTGGCACAGAGACAAACGGAAAGAATTCGTCAAGAATGAGGAAGGCGCGATATGAGAGGTCGTATGTTCTTCCTTTTTCACCTCGATTCCAGATTCAGAAACGGGTCGGCGGGGGGGGTCTACCGCCTGACAGTCCGACCAAGTCCTGGACCAGGACAGAGGGCAGAGCCGCAGAGCCCTTGCGGAGGCGTGGGCAGGCCTGGACAGCACAGGCCCCCTCCTGCCGAAGCATAAGAAAAGGAAGTATGATCCTGCTCCCAACTAGAATTCTTGAGAAGGGAAGGCAAAAGATCAAGGGACCGGCCACTCCTTTGGCTGGGAAAGCAGAGGTCAGGCGGACTGCGAGGCTGGGTGTTCGCCAAAGGCTTTCCTCCGGGCGGCCCAGGCAGGGCAGCGCCCTCTGGTCACTGCAGACTCCCCGAAATGCCCACATCCTCTTTGGCCCAGAAGCAGAGTCACTACAACCCCATTTCCTCCCCTGGGACGTGGGGAAAGGCTGACCCCCCCGCGGGGTGACACGGTGTCCAGGAGAGACGCAGGTGCTGGACAGCTCGGGGGTTATTTGGAGTGGCTGCCAGGGGAGGTGGAGTTCCCTGGAGCGCCGACCCGGGCGGCCCCG